CACCCTTCTACCTTCGCGTGTCATCCGTTTATTAATTTGCAAACCCATTTACTTCACCTTTACCCCGGGTGACTTTGTGTACGTGATGCTGCCTTGGATTACCCGACACGAGTGGCATCCAATCACGATTAGTTCAGCACCTGAAGACACATGTAAGCATACTTTTTTGAGTTATTTACTTTGAGTAATGCTAATGTACAATTCTTTCAGATATCACAATTCATATTCGCGCTGTGGGAGAGTGGACTAATCGTCTGTACGACTACTTTGAGCATGCACAAACTACTGGACTGAATGAGTTCCTTCAAAAAAAACCTTTGGTGCCTTCTTCAATGATAGAGTTTCAGTCTGAAGGTGGTTCGGTGAACTATCAATTAAATACAAACATTTTGTTACCGGAACACTTGGAAGCATACCACAATGCATTCACCGATTTTGGCAAGCGGTACATAATTTTGCTAATCCCTCAAGCATACCAGTGCCATTGCGCGATGACAACTATTGACATGGAGGTAGATGCAATCAGCCAGGGCAACAAAAGTGTTAATGAATTCAACCTGAAGAGGCTAAGTGAACGTCACCAACCGTTTTTGACCACAACATACAATGGACTGGAGAATAGTGCCCACTCCTGCGCTGTCTTCGATCAGCCACTGAAAGTTCATTTAGACGGTCCATATGGAGCACCTTATTCGAACATCTTCCAAACTGAACATGCCTTCCTCATTGCCACTGGCATTGGAGTGACTCCATTTGCAAGCATTCTTCAGAGTATTATTTACCGGCACTCCGAGAAAAGGTCTTGGGGAACAGGGAAGGCTCCTTTGCAGAAAAGTAAGAGCTTGAAGAAGGTTGACTTTGTGTGGATCAACCGTGACCACTCTAGCTTTGAGTGGTTCGTCGAAAAGCTGGCCTCGCTAAATGATCAACAAGTGCGCGAAGAGGATACACAGTTTCTCGACATTCACTTGTACGTCACTGGGAAGGAAACGGACCTCAGCCAGCAGTCAATTACAATGATGAAAAGGTACGGCAACTCTCTGAACTGGCAAAACGGTCGTCCGGACTGGATGAGGCTTTTCCAGCAGATTCGAAATCAAAATCGTGGAAAGGTGACCGTTTTCTACTGCGGACGACCTGATCTCGGTACGATACTGCGCTCACTGTGCAACCAGTTCAAATTTGGCTTCAAGAAAGAAGTCTTTTAGATATCATATACAAGCCACCAACATTTGCTGACCATTTTCTAGCTCAATTCTTTTAATTGACGATTGCTTAAATGATTTTACCGCAATAACACTGATTTTTGCCAATCTATTGTAATTGCTTTTATTCGGGTGAAAATAATTTAGGACAGAAAATATCATACATAAAGAACTCAACATTTTCAGCGGCAGAACGGTTAGCTTATCTATCAACCTCGCCGAAAACAATATCTAGCGTACCGATGATGGCAACAATATCGGCGAGCAAAAGGCCTCGACCAATGTGATCCAGAGCCGCCAAGTGAGCAAATCCGGGCGCCTTGATCTTGCAGCGGTAAGGTCTTGAAGAGCCATCACTGACAAAGTACAGACCAAATTCTCCCTTTGGGGCTTCAATTGCAGTGTAGGTGGTGCCAGCCGGAACATTATACCCTTCAGTGAACAGTTTAAAGTGGTGGATCAGAGCTTCCATAGAGGACTTCATTTCAGAGCGACTAGGAGGAACGATTTTGTTATCGTCAATTTTGACCTCTCCTTTCGGCATGCTGTTAAGGGCTTGATTGATGATCTTGATTGACTGGCGCATTTCGTGAATTCGGCATAAATATCTAAATAATAAAGTTGTTTACATTTAATAAAGCTTGTATATTGCATTCTGAGTTTTAGCAGTTTTACCTGTCGTAGCAATCACCCTTAGTTCCAATGGGAACATCAAAATCAAATTCTTCATATGAGTCGTATGGTTGCGTTTTTCGCAGGTCCCACTTGATGCCACTTCCTCTGAGCATGACACCACTGAAACCCCAGTTCAGAGCATCTTCAGCTGAGACAACACCAATGTCGACGGTTCGGTCTTTCCAAATACGATTCTCCGAAAGCAAATCTTCCACCTCATCAATTCGTTGGACAAAACAATCAGCCCACTTCCAGATGTCTTCCATCAGTCCAATGGGAAGGTCCTGCGAAACGCCACCTGGTCGCACGTACGCAGCATGCATTCGAGCACCACTCACTCTTTCATAGAACTCCATTAGCTGTTATAAAGAAAAAGTAAGGTGTAAAATCAAAGTGCGACTTTTGAAAACTATGTACCTTTTCTCGCTCTTCAAAGAGCCAAAAGAAAGGTGTCAGTGCTCCGACATCCAGAGCGTGAGTGCCAATAGCCATGAGATGATTGAGAATTCGGGTAATCTCTCCAAAAAGAACTGTAAAAAATGTTAAATCTTTAGTACTTCTGCAAATTAAAGAGAGAGAGAGAGAAAGAGAGAGAGAGAGAGAGAGAGAGAGAGAGAGAGAGAGANGAGAGAGAGAGAGAGAGAGAGAGAACTCACCTCGAATGTACTGAGCTCGTTTAGGCGCCTCGATATTGAGCAGTCGCTCGATGGCCAGAGAGTAGCATTCTTCGTTGGACATCATGGAGACGTAATCAAGACGATCCATGTAAGGAAGTGCCTGGGTGTACGTTTTGTATTCCATCAGCTTCTCCGTTCCTCGATGAAGCAGGCCAATGTGAGGATCGGCGCGAACCACATACTCGCCTCGAAGTTCAAGCACCAGCCGAAGCACACCGTGAGCCGCTGGATGTTGAGGGCCAAAGTTGAGCACAATGTTTCGGTAGTGCGTGTCAGGGGCATCCTTTTTCACCTCTTGTGAGATGACAAACTTCTCATTGTCGGGATCATTGGGAAACAGAAAGACTTCACCCTCGAATTGCTTAAAGTACTCCTTGTCTGGATACCAGGTCTTTACGTGTCGGCGCTGTTCACCGAAGCCGGCCACGGGGGCCAGTGCAAGTTTATCATTCTTCACAACATTGGACAGGTTCCGCAGAGTGGGCGTAAGCCGGGCAAGAGCTCTGGAGGCACTGATCATCTTGATAATAAAAAACACCGCGTCTCTTGAAACCACCGATGGAAAACAAAAATAAAAAATTGGTGTTGACCTCAAGCAGTCTGTTTAGACACAGACGGGCCATAGAGTAGGTGCTAATAGAAGGGAAACGTTTTTTGCCGAGAAAATCTTTAAGTAAGAAGTGCCTTTCACTATGCTTTGCAGCCTCAAAGATACTGACGACTGTACTGTCATGCTAAAAACGTTAACCAGGAAAAGTAACCTCAGAAATGAAAGCTTCTCACAAAGTCAATTTGAATGATAACGCGCCAGAGGCAAAGAGAGAACTGAATGGACTTTAATTTTGCCTTTTATTTTATTTGATTGAATTAGTACAGATTTTAAAAATCCTAGCAATTGAATTGTTTGCGAAGTTCAAGTAGGGAATCTAGCTGGATTTCTGATCCACCGCAAATGATCACCACAACGGGGCCATCGGTGTTATGGCTGTAGTCGAGGTTGTTCGCTTTGTCGAAAATGGTCTCGTGCTCCTGTTCGTCGTGATTTAAAATCCGCTGCAGCATGCCGATGTACAGAGAGCTCAAGGTGGCCCCGCAGGCAGTCCCCACCAAAAAGCGGTGGTCATCAAGGAACTTGACACACGCTTGAACGGCATCTTGATCACTGACCAGACGTGACAAAATGGGAGGCTTGCTCGCCTTAAAATCATCCAAAATCTGGGGACACACTTCATTGGCACTCAAACAGGTGACAATCGATGTGATCTTATCCAAACGAACCGGCTCGCCGCCTGCTTTGACCGCCACATTGAAGGAATCAGTGCCCACAGTCTCGAGGACCAGAATCTTGGTGCGGTCTTGCCAGTTTGCCTGCCTACGCACTCCCTTCACCAGACCACAGACCAGGCCGCCGCCACCGCAGCAGGTGACGATCATCGACGGCACAACCGAGCCGAGGTCTTCGGCAATTTCGTCGATAATTTTGGAGTGTCCTTCCCTGCAGAAACAAAGCAACAGTATGAGAATTTTGAAAAAGCCTTATAGAGCAAACACTTGCCACAGAACCGGATGGTCAAAAGGGTGCACTAGATAGGAGGTCTTGGAGATGGTAGTTCTTTTGATGGCCTGTGAGTTAGCCTCCTCCCAAACATCACCAAAGATCTCCACTGTGGCGCCGTAGCTTCGAATGCATTCGCAGACATCGCTAGGCGTTCGCCGGGTGACCACGATGTGACAGTTCATGCCCAGCTGCATTGCAGAGTAGGCGGTGGCGAGACCAGCATTGCCGCCCGACGAGCAAACCACTTCGGTGAATCCTTGTTCGCGAGCCTTGAAGATACGATTAGAAAAGCTGAAAGGATATCTGTAGATCAAGAACCTTCCATTTACTTACATATTTGCACAGAGCGGAAATGCCTCGCGTTTTAAAGCTTCCCGATGGCTGACAGTTTTCTAGCTAAAAATTTACAGTTTGAGAAAGAAGGACNCGATACGATTAGAAAAGCTAAAAGAATATCTGTAGATCAAGAACCTTCCATTTACTTACATATTTGCACAGAGCGGAAATGCCTCGCGTTTTAAAGCTTCCTGATGGCTGACAGTTTTCTAGCTAAAAATTTACAGTTTGAGAAAGAAGGACATTCAAGAGCAAAATGGTACCTTGAGGAAGACCTTCCTTCCGGCAGCGTACGGTCTCAGGGGAACGCTCTCGACCAGTGGAGTGCGCACATATATTTGCTCACAAATCGGTATTTCCAGCTTGCCCATAGTGTTTGACGGTAGTGCCTGGTGGTGGTGACTGCGAATAATGTCTTTCAGAGGTTGTCAGACCGAGCAGTTGCTGATGCTTATTTTCTCAGTTCACTCAAGTGATGCTCATCCACCAGAACGCAAAGTCAATATGTGCATTGGGGAGCCTTATCGAGGTGTCGATATGCCCGCTTCTCGTCGAAAGGAACAGATACCCTGACACTGTAATGTACATCGTACAAAAATAGTCATACACAGAGTGCAGCCCATTTGAACCTTCGCAGTGAAGTTTTGAGAGTATATGCTCGTATGTTAATGGATTTTGCTAAGGCATAATGTTGCATTCATTTAAATACATACAAACTCCTAAAAACATGAAGTAAAATCACTCAAAACTTTTTGAAATCACGGCACTTTTATATTAAAACTATATACACTTTGAAGCACCCTGTACACAATGACAACATACTGAAAACCATTATCAAGAGATTAGGTAGACGGTCGTTGATTATACTTGAAAATGGACGAAGAGAGCCAGTTCAATTCATGTTGTGCTTATCAACAGCTTCAATAAATAGCTTTTTAGTTTTGTCGCATAGTTTGCTCAGCTCATCGAAGCCGCTTATTAGAGCATCGTAGACGTTTAACCCATTCTTTGTTTGCACCTGCAGCTGAAAGTATTCTTCGCTTGGATGGGGAATGGAGTAGCCGCAAAAATCAACATTTTTATTTTCTAAAATCTGACTCCTAGATGGTAAAAAGTTTACACTGTTAGCTGATTTTGAAAAAAGGCAATTTAAAAAACTGACCTGAGCACGTTGGCTAGAGTATGATCTTCTCTGTAGAACTTGAACGTGGCCGCCGTTTGCTCCTCATTGATGTAGACGACTTCAAACTGTTCTTGCACTTGCATGCTCATGTTTGCCGATTGACGGTGAAAAGTAAAGTGAAAAACTAAATCACACTAAATCACACCAAAAAAAGATAAAATACAAACACACCGAAGCCATGTGCCTCCTGGCGCATGAGCAGTGAGCGATCTGGTGGGATGACTCCACTTCTGTGGACTGCTCCCCCTGCTCACCGCTGCAAATGTTTTTGTCTCTCGCATCTTCGCGCGTCAAAAGATTTGACTCCGGACTTTCTCTGGTGGTACAACGACCCTTCCCTAGTGCACTGACAGCTCACCTCAACCACTCTACCACTCACCCCGACCCGAGACCATCAGTGCCAGTGACTGGTAACGGGTCGCCGTCGAGAAGTGCATCACCACACCTGCAAACAGCCTCGGCACTGCGTGTCGCCTTCCCCCTAAGCGGTGGCGCATTGCCGCCCAGAGACACCACCGCCGCCAAATCATCATGCCGGGGTTCCTTGAGTATATGATTTTGGAGAACTTCAAGTCCTACAATGGACGCCAGAAGATCGGCCCGCTGAAGCAGTTCACCGCGGTAATCGGCCCCAATGGCTCTGGAAAGTCCAACTTTATGGATGCCATCAGTTTTGTATTGGGCGAAAAGGCGGGAAATCTTCGAGTAAAGAAACTCTCTGAGCTCATTCACGGCGCATCCATTGGCCGTCCTGTAAGCAACTCCGCTTCAGTTCAGCTAATATATCGCGACTCGGAAACGGGGCGAATCACCAATTTCACTCGTTTAGTACTGGGCTCCAGTTCAGAGTACCGCATCGACGAGGCTTCAGTGTCCAAACAGGAGTATGCTGAACGCTTAGAGAAGCTTGGCATCAACATCAGAGCCAAAAACTTTCTCGTCTACCAGGGAGCTGTGGAATCAATTGCAATGAAAAATCCCAAAGAAATTACATCTCTCTTTGAGGAAATCTCACGAAGTAATGAGTACAAAGATGAGTATGTCAATAAAAAGGTGCTAATGGATCGATCAGAAGAGGAGCTTCACCACATGTACATGAAAAAGAAAGGCATTGCGGCTGAGAAGAAGGAAGCGCAAGGAGAGATAAATGAGGCCAAAAAGTACCAGAACCTCAAAGAGGAGCTAAGTCGCGTGCAAATTGAACTTCAACTCTTCAAGCTGTACAATATCCAGGAGGACATTGATCGACTACAGGATGACATGGAGCGAAAGCGCAAAGAAATGGATAAGCACTTTAAATCAAAAGAAAAGATTGACAATGACATTAAAGAGAAGCGCTCAAATTTGGCGAAAATCACCAAGGAATTGCAGAACATTGATCGAAAGATTCGCGATGTTGAATTGAATCTCAATAAAAAGCGGCCCACCTATATTAAAGCCAAAGAAAATGCTGCGCATATTGAGAAAAAGCTGGAGACGGCGAAAAAGTCTAAGGCAACTGCGCTCAAAGCTCACACTAATCACCAGAGCACCTTGAAGGAGCTTGAGGAGGAGCTGGCTAAAGTCATCGAAAAACAGGAGGAGTTTGAAACAAAAGTTGAAAAGGAAAAGGAACTTTTCAAAACTAATGTTGAACTGGAAGAGTCTCAGCGTAATGAGTACAACCGCCTGAAGGATAAGGTCACCAAAAAGTCCATCTCCATTATGAAGGAGCTCGAGTCGGAGCAGCGCGAACAGAAAGCTGACCAGGATCGATACGATAACGAACAGCGGAAGAAGAATCACATTGAATCGAGGATTCAACTGCTCACTGTCAACTACGACGAAAACACTAAACGTATTGATAAACTGAAGGACAACATTGAGACTTCTGAACTGCAGCTAACTGAACTTTCAAAGAAGAAGGTGGAGATCGAAGAGGTGGTGAACACTGCTAAGGAGCAGGTGGAAAAGATCACCAGCAAGCTGGAGGAGATCAATCGCGAACTCGGCGATGCAAAGGTGGACCGTCACGAAACGGAACGACGCAACAAAAAGGCCGAAGTGGTGGAGAACCTGAAGAAGCTCTACCCTGGTGTCTACGATCGACTGCTGAACCTCTGCAAGCCCATTCACAAGCGCTACAACATTTCAGTGACGAAGGTGATGGGCAAGAACATGAACGCCATCGTGGTGGACACTGAAAAGACCGGTCGACTGTGCATTCAGTACCTGAAGGAGCAGATGCTCGAGCCGGAGACGTTTTTGCCGCTGGACTACATCGAGGTGAAGTCAGTGAAAGAGCGCCTTCGAAATATTCAGAATCCGAAGGGTGTCAAACTGCTGTACGATGTCATCAAGTACGACCCTCCGGCAATTAAGAAGGCAGTCCTCTACGCGACCAACAACTCACTGGTCTGCGAAACGGCGGAGGACGCCAACCTGGTGGCGTTCGACCTGGGCGATGGACAGCGCTACGATGCCGTCTCCCTGGACGGTACCTTCTACCAGAAGTGCGGCTTCATTTCAGGCGGCAGCGCCGACCTGGAGAAGAGAGCCCGTCGTTGGGACGAGAAGGAGCTCCACGCGTTGAAGTATCAAAAGGAAAAGCTGTCGGACGATCTGAAGGAGCAGATGAAGCGAAATCGCAAGGAGAGTGAACTGATGATGCTGAACAGTCAAATAAAGGGCGTCGACACGCGCATCAAGTACTCGAAGAACGACAAGATGCAGACGGAGAAAAACAACGAGGAGATCACTCGCGAAATACAGGGACACAGAGAAAATGTCACTAAATACGATCCAGCGCTGGCGGAGATTTCAGAGCGAATGGCCAAGCGAGCAGAGGTCATCTTGAAGCTGCAAAGTCAGATGAACACCGTTGAGGATGAGATCTTTTGCGACTTTTGTGTGCAGCTTGGCGTGGAAAATATTCGCCAGTACGAGGAGAGACAGACCCAGGCTACGCAGGAAAATGAACGCCTTCGTTTGCAGATTGAAAATGAAAAGAACTCTGTGTCTTCTCGTTTAGCGTACGAGAAGAGCAAAAACACTCGAGAAAATGTCGACCGCTGGGAGCGAGTAGTTAAGGAAGAGGAGGAAAACCTGCAACGGGTAAGTCTCAAATCTCAAGGGGAAAGTGATTTACATTTGTGACATTCTGTTCTCCCTAGGCAAAAGATACTGAAAAACGAGAAATGCTGGCCATCGAGGAGGAGATGAAAAAGGTGGAGAATCTGAAAAATGACAAAATCTCGAAAAAGACCGAATGCGACGCAGTGGAGGATGAAATCACCGAGGTGAAGCGAGGACTATCGGCAATTCAACGCGATTTGAGTGCGGCTCAGAAGGCGCTGATGACGATTGAGTGCAAGCTGGAGTCCCGCAAGTCTGATCGCCACTCAGTGCTGATTCACTGCAAGATGGAGTGCATCAACTTGCCCCTCGTGTCGGGCAACCTCTCGGAAATGGCGGCCGGTCCCTCTCGAACCTCCAATGGAGACGCGAATGGCGACCAGATGGACGATGATGACGACGACGGGCCGTCGACGCAGCGCAGCTATGAGCACGATGCCATGGTGAAGCCTGACTTTGACGTGCTCAAGAACAACCTGAAGAACATCAGCGATCCGGAGCAGATCAAGAAGAAGGAGGCGGAGTTTCAGGCGGAAATCAACTCAAAGCTGGACATTTTGCAGAAAATACAAGCGCCCAACCTGCGTGCCATTGACCGACTGGAGGACGTGAAGAACCTGCTGAAGGAGACCGACCAGGAGGTGAACAACCTGCGACTGGCCTCAAAGAAGGCCAAACTGACCTTTGAGGAAGTGAAGCGAGCTCGTCTGAAGGAGTTCAACCAGTGCTTCGAAAGTGTTGCCCAGCGCGTCGACTCCATCTACAAATCACTGACCAACAACGCCTCGGCACAGGCGTTCCTCGTGCCGGAAAATCCCGAGGAGCCCTACTTGGAGGGCATCAACTACAACTGCGTCGCCCCTGGGAAGCGTTTCCAGCCGATGAGCAACCTCTCCGGTGGAGAGAAGACCGTTGCCGCGCTGGCCCTTCTCTTTGCCATTCACTCCTACAAGCCGGCGCCCTTCTTCATTCTTGATGAGGTGGACGCAGCGCTGGACAACACCAACATCAGCAAGGTGGCGCGATTCATTCGAGAGAAGACCGACTCCTCCTTCCAGTGTATCGTCATCTCCCTCAAGGAGGAGTTCTACGGTCATGCCTCTTCACTGGTCGGCGTGGCGCCCAACCCCGGTGACTGTACCATCAGTAAGATCTTCACCTGCGACCTGACGCAGTTTCCCGAGTAATCTGTCAAGCGCACATACATCCATTTCCATCTCCATCTCCTGCATTTACCTCCTAGCTGCAAGTTGATCATTTTCACCTACTATATTATCTCACAGCTTTTCTTTATCATCTATACCTTTCATTGATTATAATTTATTGGCACATCGACCCCCTACTACGCATCATTATTAAACGATTAACCGATAAAACCGTAAAACTGTTAAGAATATAATTTTTTAATCATGTGCGCATGTAGTTGTTACAAGCCAAAGAATTTAAAGACCATAAGTGCGCATTGCTAGTGTAAATTGGTTAGGGTATATTATGGATTGATTTGATTTGGATGCTGTGTATACTGTGTGTATTGCACTCGGTCGGGTGAAGGTGTCGAAAGAGTTGCTGTAGGATGAAAGCTTATCTGTAGGTGTGTGTGGGTGGCTTGGGCGAGAAGGCCACAGGGGGCCACACACCCCCTGTGGCCAGTAGGTAGATTGCTAGGATCACATATTTGTTTTGCTTGACATTTGACTAAGTGGGGCACAGGGAATCTGCCGGTGGCGAAGAGTCTTGAGAAGTGCATTGGGGGTTACCACCAGGGACAAGGGTTTTCTTCTAAGCACGAAGTTTTGAAGAGGCATAAATTGGAATATCACAATGAATAATAAATAGTAGAGGTCTAAAAGGTATTTTGAAGAAGATAAAATCAAAGTCCGAAGTTTAGTACCGCTGTTGCAAGCTTGCGAGTTTCATCTTTGTTAATTTTGTTCCGTTGTTCTTAATCAGAATCTTCAAAGAGGATATCCTCATAATCCATGATGTCAAAGTCGCCGTCGGAAAGAATTTGCGTTAGGTTGTCCATGTCCATGAAGAGAGACTGGTGGTGATGGATAAGAATTAGTGAGTATGGAATATTTGCAAAATGAAGAAGAGCCTTACCAAGAGGGCTGCATACTCCTCAATTTGGCCACTGCCGCCTTTGATACGACGGCGCTCCGAGGGCATTGGAAGTTCTGCCTTGCGTCCATCCGGGTACTCGTGCTTGTAGAAGCAGGCTCCCTCAAAAGGGCACTTTCCTTGTCCTTGCTTGAAGTACTTGCAGTGTTGTTTGCTGCAAAAACCACGATGTTAAAAGAACAAAGCAGAGGGCAATGAAAGCGCATCAAGTTTAATATACCTCAGGGCGTCCTTGTACTCATTGATTAGCTTTACTTTGTCCTCCTTTTCGTCGTAAAAGTACTCGCTGGGAATAATAAAGTGCGATTTGATGCGACACTGCGGACATCCTCGCTTGTTCTTCTTGTCAAAGTTAGAATTACGCCAAGTGCGAATACACTCGATGCAGTACACGTGAAGGCAGTTTTCAAGAATGCCAAATCGACGATCTTTTCGTGAATCCTTGTCCATGATGACATCGAGACAGATGCCGCAAGTAAGATCCTTGCTTCGCTGGTACGCAAACGATTCTTCCATGTTCTTTTCGTGAAGGCGAACGCACTCCTAAATATGAATTATTCAGAAACAGAAGCAAATCTTTAAACAGAAAGTACTTGCCTGGCGATGCAGATCACTTTGAGTAGCGTTGTAAGGGTGCAAAGAGTAAAAACTACAAAGGTCACACCAGTTTCCGTGAACGTTGTTACATTTTGGTGTGATACAGAAGCCGTTGCTTTCGTAGAACGAACAAAGTTCTTTGGTAGCCATCACCTTTTCGAAATCGTCCTTGGGCTGACTTGATGATGCCACCGAGGCGTAGGAAAGCTTAACGTGAGCACCATCTGACAATGCAGGAACACTCTCGCAACTTGCAGCGCTTTCACAAGAGTCATTAACCGGCTGAAAAACTTCAACTTCTTCAAGGGGTATATTTGTCCAACTTGAAGTTGAGGGAAAGCTGTCTGGTACATAAGATAAAACTTCCTCACTGTAAGTATCACTGTAAACCGAATCTTCAGGACAGACACTATTCTGAAGAACTTCTCCTTCTTCCTCTAGGACATTGCTTTCGGTAAGAAGTTCCTCGATCGATTTGTGTGTTTTAGTGCAACAGTCCCCTTTGTAACAGGTTGAGCGGAGGTAAAACAAACAGACTTCCTCAGGGATGGGGATAGAGTTTTCTGGATCATGCGAGTAGATACAGGCCTCCCCAAAACTGCATATTCCTTGGGCAAAGTATCTGGAAAAGAAGATGAAGCTATGAAAATGAGGCCTTGTTAAAAGAAAAAACTAGGTTAGACGTACCGACACAGAAGTTGATTTGTCGCCATCCTTGAACTCCGGAAGTGGTGATGACAACCAGCAGGTCAACTAGCTCTATTGATAAAAAAAAGAAAAAAGTTTGTAAAACATCATCAAGTTCACTTAAAAAAGTTTTGAACGAGCAAAACGGTTAAGATAACTACAAGAAAGATGCCTCCTTTGAAGCCATGTGAATTTCGAAATAGTACAGTGATGTTGCCACATACCAACTGGGCTGAGAAATTGGCTGCTGAAGAGGTTGTAATGGATGGAAACCACAGCGGAGATGGAAGCCCAAGCCACACGGCACAGAGCAGCTCTTAAGCGGATGGATTCTGAAGAGGCCTGAAGTCGAGGTCTTTAGCACCAGGTTGTGTGTGTGATCTAGCCAGATCAGTATCAGAAATTGCAGAGTGCAGAAAACGCAAACCAGACGTTGCAGACGGGGCATTTATCGCCACTGTGTGTGTCTGTTTATATTGTACCAATTTTTTTTAGAATTTTTCAGCAGAAGTGCTGCCTTCTCGTATAGAACGTACCTCAGTGTACGCACAACAAACCAGTGAAAACAGTGTTGCAGGTCTTTTGCAGCAGCAGCAGCAGCAGCACCCTCTGCTCCACTGACTCACTGTGTGCGCCACTCTCGTCAGCTGTTCAACCGTCCCGAGACTCGATCGCAGAGTTTCGACGCTCCAACGCGAAAGCAATGGAATCTCTAATTCCGACCATCAACAAGCTGCAGGATGTGTTCAACACCATTGGCGCCGAAAGCATTCAACTGCCGCAAATTATCGTCGTCGGAGCGCAGTCTTCAGGCAAGTCGTCGGTACTCGAGTCCATCGTAGGGCGAGATTTCCTTCCTCGCGGCTCAGGAATTGTCACCCGTTGTCCGCTCATTCTTCAGCTGCAGCATGTCAAGAAGGAGGACATGTCGATTAGAAGCGAAGCTGAAGGTAAGAACTTCCTTTAAAGAGTAGAGTGCAGTCTTTAGCTGATCCCTTTTCTTTTCAGGCACAGTTGGTCTCGAAGAGTGGGGCAAGTTTCTCCACACCGGCGAGAAGGTCTTTTCAAACTTTGATAAGATTCGTGATGAGATCATCGCTGAAACTGAGCGAATTGCCGGTGCCAACAAGGGCATTTCTCCGCAGCCCATCAACCTAAAGATCTTCTCAAATCGGGTTGTTGACCTGACGCTGGTTGATCTGCCAGGCATCACCAAAGTGCCAGTCGGCGAACAACCTCATGACATTGAGGATCAAATTCGCTCATTGGTTCTCAAGTTCATCACCAATGCCAACTCAATCATTCTGGCAGTGTCTCCAGCAAATACGGATTTCGCCAATTCGGAATCACTTAAATTGGCCCGCGAAGTTGACCCCAACGGTGACCGAACACTGGCAGTGCTCACCAAACTTGATCTGATGGACGCTGGCACCGACGCCAAGGATGTCCTTTCTGGCAACATCATTCCAGTCAAGCTCGGAATCATTGGTTGCGTTAATCGCTCTCAGCAGGACATAATTAACAAGAAAAACATCGAAGACACTTTGAAGGACGAAATGAGTTTTCTTCAGCGAAAGTACCCTGCACTGGCTAATCGAAACGGAACCAGTTATCTGTCTAAAACTCTCAACAAGGTACTCTTAATCTAATTGAATTTTTATTCTGAGTACTAACTATATTTTCATTTCAGCTCTTAATGCACCATATTCGAAACTGCCTTCCTGAACTTAAAACTCGAGTCAATCTTATGATTTCTCAGTTTCAATCTGTAGTTAACTCGTACGGAATGTCTATCGATGACAAGGTTTGTCCACCAGTTTTTAGCACTTCATTTGTTGTCAATGTCATTCTTCTCGTCTTACTTACCCGCTTATTTTCTTTCCCGTTCACGCTGCTCATCCTTCATTTTAACCATCATGCTCATTTTGCTTCGGCTTTCATTCCTTCCTGTTGAACAAACACTGTGTCTTCTCACTAACATAGGACTTATCAACTAGAGTATATTTATTTGTTGATTTATGTGTTGACTGGACAACATTTTTAATCAATTTCTATTCAACATTTTCTAGGGTCAAACTCTCCTTCAAATCATCACCAAGTTTGCCTCTTCCTACTGCTCCACAATTGAAGGCACCTCGAACAACATTGAGACCACTGAACTGTGTGGGGGTGCCCGTATTTGCTACATTTTTCACGAAACTTTTTGCCGCACACTCGCCTCCATTGATCCCCTTAGCGGTCTTTCCACTGTTGACATCCTTACGGCTATAAGAAACGCGACTGTAAGTAAACAGTTTTGGTGAAGTGTGAAGAAATGTTTAATAATTACGGGGTTTTTTCTCTGACACAGGGCACCAGGCCAGCTTTGTTTATTCCCGAAGTATCATTTGAACTTCTCGTCAAGAGGCAAATTCGCCGCCTGGAAGAGCCTAGTCTTCGATGTGTTGAACTTGTCCACGAGGAAATGCAACGCATCATTCAACACTGTGGTACTGAGGTGCAGCAGGAGATGCTGCGTTTCCCCAAGCTGCACGAGCGCATAATTGATGTTGTCACGCAGCTTCTGCGACGCCGTTTGCCACCTACCAACACCATGGTGGAAAACTTGGTCTACGTTGAGCTAGCTTACATCAACACCAAGCACCCTGATTTCACCGATGCTCATTTGGTGGGGGAACTGTTTAAGAAAAGAGAGGACTTTGTCATGGTTTCTAAACCCGAAAATCAAGCCATTCAGCAGTACACAAGTGGCAAAGTGGGTGCAGGAGGCAGCATTGCAGGCACCAGTAGCATTCCCCAGAAGTTCAAGTCGTACTTGCCCGGCAACAACAACGAGGATACTGAATCGCAAAAATCAGTCAACAGTGATACCAGTGATAATTCAAATCTCAACTTTGCCGTCAACTCGTTGTCTTCTCCAATGAAACCAGTCAAACTATTGCCCGAAGTGGTAAGTCAGCATTGATTTGATTACTTTTATTTATGTTGATTAAAACTTTCGTCAACCCAACAGCCTTCCATCACCAACAATCGCAAGTTGTCACCGAAAGAAGAGCACGATTGCAAAGTTATTGAGCGGTTGATTCGATCCTACTACATGATAATTCGCAAGAATATTCAAGATTCGGTCCCTAAAGCGATTATGCACTTTTTAGTAAACTACGTTAAGGACAACTTACAATCAGAGCTTGTCACTCATCTCTACAAGCACGAAGAATTTGACCTGCTTCTCAAAGAGTCGGAGCAAATTGCTCAACGTCGCCAAGAGGCATCGGAAATTCTGAAGGTAATGGTTTAATTGCAGCATACTGTTGCCTTTATTTAACTTAAATTTAATATTTTTGCAGGCGCTGCAGAAGGCCAATATTATTATTGGGGAGATCAGGGAGACGCGCATTTGGTAACTCACCTGAAAACACATTGCAACCTGTCTATAGCTTCATTTTGTACTGTTTAGTCTTTCTTTTAATTCACTTTAATGGCCACTTACCATTAGTTTTATAGCCTGCACGACTGGCTTGTGTAAAGTAAAGTTATGAAGTTTTCCTGTCTAAACTGTATCAAAGGCCACGGTGAACAATGATTGAAATAAATAAGTGTCTTATGACAATTGGTTCAGTGTCTCCAGTGTCTCGTTGACAGCCATCAGAGGAGAATCCATCGACGTTGAAGTGAAGAAGCCACACACAGTGCCGCTGCTGCGACTGCGCGAGGTATCACCAGAAGAGCCGACATGTCAGCGAAAGACTATGAACTCAGAAGTATTTATCTGTGTTTGTATTGTTTATTGATTGGATTCTCTTTGGTATGTGATTTAATTTAGCCCAAATGATACGGGTATTACAAGCTGTGCGAACTTCTTTCCCGACCACTCTGCAGCAGCGGACTGCTGAGACAATAGAACTGTAAAACTGATTCTTCAAAGACCGTTTCACCTGTAACACTCTCATAGTCAGCACTGCTTCTCCTTCCCTAGCCGATGCTCAATTTCAGCAACCTTTGATCTGTAATCTGTGATCTGTTTTAATAACAGTTTTAGTCACTAAAAATCACATCGACGATGGCAGACAGCAACAACAAAGCGCTACTGCTGCAAATATGCGGCATGGTGGCCATGTTTGTCTCCATCTTTTTGTGCTATCTCGGACCGATCTTTCTCTTTTCCCGACGAAATCGGCGCCTGCAAAGTGATGACTTTTCCACCGAGGAAGACTTGCAGATGCCCCATCACTGGAGCAATGTCAACTTGAGCAACCAACTGAAAAAATACAAACTCAAACGATTGCTCTCCAGCTGCAATTGTATTTCTGCCGGTGTCTTTCTAGGCGTCTGCTTCCTCAACCTGATTCCCTGTGTGGAAGAAGAATTCGCAAAGCTGATCAAAGATTTCCCGTCACTTCAAAAATATTTTGGCTCATTTCCACTGGGCCAGTTCACTGTTATATGCGGGCTTTTTCTAGTCCTCATTGCCGAGTCCTTGTTGTCCAGCTGTTTTAAAAGCAAAGACACTCATTCTCATTCGCACTCGCAAAACTCGTTGACTGTGCCTATTTTGTACCTGGACGAAGAGTCAGCAGTACGTTGGATTCAATAACTTTTATATTACCTGACATTAACAGTGAGTCACGTTCTTCTAGAATGAGCCACGAAATGATTTGATTGACGACCAGGAAGAGTTGCTCTTGTCAGATGAGCACAGGGAAGAGCAAACGTCGAAGGATAAAAAGGAGAGGGGCAATGGGACGAGCGGGCCCAAGAACGGGCTGCATGATCGGGTCGCAGTCAGTTCAGAGACACAGGAGAGCATGTTCACGGACAATCACCAACATCACCACGGTCACCATGGACACTCGCACATGACTGCTGATATTTTTCAGGACAGACCCGATTCGATGTTTTCCTTTTTCATCGTCTTCTTTGCCACGAGCATCCACAGTCTACTGGAAGGTAAGGAGAGGGTCTCTGTAGGAAGTCAGCTGTTCTCATCACATTCTCACATACCTTTTTTAACGCAGGTCTGGCACTCGGTCTGCAATCCGATATATCGACGGCAATTCATCTGTTCATTGGCATTATTTTGCACGAGTGCCTTGTTTCGATAGCACTCGGTCTCAATGCAGTTCGGCTGCAGCAGCAGAACATCAATCTGCTGATGCACATCAAGTTTGCCCTTCTCTTCTCACTAACAATTCCTCTGGGCAATGTTCTGGGCATTCTATTGGGCTACACACCAGGTCATTTCGGCCGCTTTATATCGGCCATTTTTCAGGGCTTTGCCGCCGGCACCTTTATACATGTGACTTTTCTTGAACTGATACCCGAAGAGCTGTTATCGTCTGACTGTGATATTCAAGAAGATGAGATAATCAAAATGATGTCCAGCAATCAGGAAAACAGTGAGAGAAGGGTCAGCTCTCCTATTGAGTCAAGTGAAACTAGTGACTCAGCTCACTCAACGCAAGTAGGCCCCAGTGCTTCTTCTAATCCCGAGCACAGTGAGGTCCCAACTAATCAACGACTGGAAAACACAAACTCAAAACACTCTCATAATATCAAACTCCGTAAAATTTTTCTACTTCTCATTGGCTTCATCATAATGGCACTGGTGCCTTTTATTTTTGGCGAATAATTACAATCAGTCGAAAGGTTATATTTATTATGTTCAATCAGGTAGACATTTTTTTCAATTAAATAAAAAACTCACATTTTAGCGAAAGTTTGTGGCCTGGACTGCGCCTGTGGCGCACTGCGGATGGAAAGACAGGACCGGCTACTAATGCTGGCGTCACATGCCCTCAGCGTCACAGTCACCGTCACCGTCATCGTCTTTGTCCAAAGGGCCACCGGGCAGGATTTAGGCTAATGATGATCACAGAGCACACTTCTCTGTCTCTGTAGGTCAAACTTTCCTGTGAGCACAGTGGGCAGATGAGGCGCGAGCCATTTTTCATGGAAAATGTGAGCTTTCCTCTGATTTACATAAAAGTGAGCTTTGAACAAGCACTTTTGCTGCGCCTGCACTGCACTCACTGAGAGTGAGAGAGGCGCCATGCCGTTAATTGGCCATTGATCGGATCACTTTTTGACGGCTCCAGCGTCTTTGAGTGTGCACTCAGCGTCTGCTCTTGAAGCTAGTTTGTAGCATCGAACAGACACACATCGACAGTGCTTCACTTCCTGCACGACAGTGGCCCCTGTGTCTGCACATGCTGATGAATGCGAAGGATAGTGTCCCTTCCAGCTAAGTGAGCTTATCTTATTATTCTTCGCTATCGGTGGTCATGATTTTGAAATCAACGCACATCTCAGCTCATCGCGGCAGTTGAATCGACTGTTTGGTGCCAGTTTGTCGTTGCCGTAATCTTGTTTGTTTGTTTGGTCATGAAGCCACCACCACGACTGAGCCCGACATGTATAGTTTTTATAAAAAGTAATCTAAAAATACATGTCTCGACTGATGGCAATCAGCAAGTAGTAAATGATCGTCGCGACTGGCAAGCAGGTTTCTCTTTCACCTGACCACAGTGAACAATGTGTGCGCGCTTTGGCTTACAGACACAGTTCATTTATCAGATCTGATCTGCGTCCGAGAAGTGGTCCTCTCTATTTCTGTCCGGGCGGTGTGTGCGTTTGTGCTTGCTGAGCCCTTTATCGAACAAAATCAGCTATCACTTAGGAGGCCGTCTCAGTCTCGGGGAGCTTTCATTCGGGGCGATTCATTCGGAGCACCTTCTACAAGCCACACTGTGTACAAACGGTGGTTCGCCTTCTTCTTTTTCATAATGTTCTCCAGTCTTTTTGTACGAGCTGTGGCGCTGGCTCTGCTGTGCGGCCTGGCCCTGGCCCAAGTTCAGCCTGAACAAATCAAATGCCGTGGCTATAAGCCAACTGACGTGTGTATGTATTGAGTAGGGCAGCGAGGGAGAAACGTCCGCTGTGCATTGAGTGGTGATAACAAAAGCTATATTCTCATAAATCCTTCTTATCATATCACCGTTCATCTCAGCCTACCCGACGCCCTACATCAGTCCAGCGGACCGATCGGCTCGCTGCAAGGCCCTCTTTTCTCGCTACAACAGCACGGGCACCGCAAACCTGAGCTTCGTCGGGCAGAACACCTACCACAACCCGTGCAAGATCGAGTGCGGTCTGTGTGTGGAGACTGAACTTCCTGAGGAGAAGGAAGAGGACAATGTGAAGCGCTTCTACCCGCCTCACATCTCACTGAAGGACAGCATCGTCAAGTGCACCGACGAAGTGGAAGTCTACGAGCAGTTTATGCCTGATGGCATTCGGTGCGGTCCATGGCACGTAAGTCTGACCCGCCCAATCCCTCTTCAATCCATCAGTCTGCTCCAACTGACACTTTCACTTCTTTACTGACGCAGATGTGTGAAAACTTTTGCTGCGTTGCCAAGCCTGATTTGTTCCCAAATTCAAAGCGTCTACGTCAGCAACTGAAGGACAGGTAGATAGCTTAATGATAAGCATTTTCCAAGTGAGCTTACTTCTAACTCATACTGCTGTTTTTTTAATTGCCAGTGCTGATGGTGACGTGAATACTTTCTCCCAAACCATTCCGCCAGAATGGACCAAACCGCTAACCTGCGAAGAGGAAGGATTTTTCCAGGTATACATACCTTGATACAAGTTATTTATTTATTTGCATTTTCTTAACACGTTTTCATCCTTCATTTACATACCCTTTAGAATCCAAACGGTAAGAATGACGAATGTGATTAGTAAAACAAAAGTGTTTTAAAATAAAAATGATTTTCCTTTAGATTGCCACAAGTTTTACCGCTGTTACAAGGCTGGCTCCCGAGGTGGCTTCTCGCGCACTCTGTTTGATTGCAAACCGAAAAACCTAGTGTTTGATCCCCAGCTCAAAGTTTGCGTTCCCGTGGACGAAGAAGGACTGGGTGATGTTTGCGGTTTGCTGAATGCTGAAGGACTAGCCGATTACTGAAGCAAAGAGGATGTAACTTCTGTTGCTGGTCCAACCCATTTTTCGTTTGGTAAAATTTTTTAACTGTGCCAAACGGTACAACTGTTTTTTTCAAGTATTACCCACTTTGGTGGAGCCACTGTGAATATGTACAAAAAGCGAGTGCCAGTGGTACTGCAATGAATAACTTATTAAAATGCAAAGAAAATGTTGCTCACTTTCTTGGAAACTTGAGTGTGGTTTGTTGATTTGAACCAAAGGGCGTCAAATGGGAACAAGCTTTTATTTGATTTCGCTCTTTTCAGTTTGAACTTCAACAATAGTTGACAGTCTGATCGCTAGAGACCGCTAAAAACTCAATTTGTATTTATTTTCTGTTTTCCAATGTGCTTGTCAGATCGCGGACAACAAACGATCATCAACTGCGATACTTTTCAGCTTATCAAAGAATATTTTTCTTTTCCATTGTCATGACAGAGCTGATTTGAAAATAGAAACATTGAAAAATGACAAATAAAAGCAAAGTGTTTCAACTGCCCGAATCAAATGTTCAAGTGGCACTGCTCTACATGCCCAAACTGGACCTGTACGTCATCACCGATGCAAAAGGATTTGGCCAAAACTGGATCAAGGTGACATACTATCGAAATGTGTATGACGCCAGCCTGATGATGGGAATCGACAACAACGATGTTCTCACATCAATTGCCCGCCACTTGGCAGAGTCAGTGGTAAAGAGGCGACTGGCTAAATCCACTGATCAGCTAATGGCAGTTGATGAAATTAAACTCACATTTAGCATTTCATTGCGCAACAAGGAGCCAAAAGTCATTCGCTTTATAAAGGAAAAGTTTGAAGAACTGTTGAAGGAATAATTCACGCTCATTTTTTATGTACAGTTTCTGTTACTGATTAAATTTATCATTCTGCGACCAAATTCTGGTTAAGCGTGTGCCTAAACGTGTTTTCTGATTTACTAAACAAATTTCATTTAAGTTACTTTATCTCACTCTTCCAAAGTTATTCAATATAATTAAAAACGGAACCTTGAAATTCTGCAAATAAAAGAATCGGCCTATTTTGACTGAATGCAATCAAAGTTGATGCCGGTTATGTACAATTAGACAGCCATCAGTTGACAAAAATCTATTGTTTTGAATTTGCTCTTCAAGTGATTGTCCACAATTTCACAAGGCAAAATGAAGAAGAAAAAGACTAATTTGTTGTTCCAAGACGGAAACGGTGACTCGGCAGCGTTGAACAAACGACAAAAGACGGAGCTTACTTTTCCTAAATTGCCTCCAAGTGGATTTCCAACCGACTTTCCATACAACAAAGAGACGTTTCGCTACTATTTGGCAGAACCAGATATCAATGCTCCTGAGAGGAAAGAATATGAAGAATCTCAAGACTGTGGAAAGTCGTTTCCTAACTGGCTCTTTCGAAGGTTGATGCCGGAGAAAGTTGTCCTTTCCATGCATGATCGAGCGCCTCAGCTGAAGTTGTCCGATGACAACACGACCGTTGTCGGCGAAAAAGGCTACTCTTCCATCAGAGCTAATACCGGTGTGAACACTGGCACCTGGTACTACGAAGTGAAGATTAATCAAATGCCTGACAATAGTGCCACTCGAATTGGCTGGGCTCAAGAGCTGGCCAACTTACAGGCCCCCTTAGGTTATGACCGGTTCGGTTACTCCTGGCGCTCACGAAAAGGCACAAAGTTTCACCAAAGCATAGGTACGCTTGCTTTATTCTAGAGAGACTCTTGTTAATAACAATTTTGTTACTATTCTTTACAGGTAAGCATTTCGCCGATGAAGGTTTTGGGGTTGGCGATGTCCTCGGCTGTTTAATTGATCTGCCACGCGAGAGACCATTTCTGCAGAAGGCCTACAAGAAGCTTCCCATTTTTAAATTCAAATCTTATCTTTACTTTGAGGAGAAGGACGATGTGCAGAAAGCAATAAAAGAGCTCAAGCCTCTTCAAAACGCAAAAATTGTGTACTACAAAAACGGAACCAAAATCGGCACTGCTTTTGAGAACATCTACAACGGCGTGTACTACCCCGCTGCGGGTTTATTCAAAAACATTTCTATAACCTTCAACTTCGGTCCTCACTTTGACTACCCACCCACTGACACTGAATTCGGATCTCGTTACCGGGGCATGAACGAAGCTGCCTTTGATAATCAAATTGAACAAACTATTGCTGACATGGTTTACCTGGTCGATAATGAATCAAAGGGTACACTCTCAGTGAAAAACTTTTACAGTAAAAATGGATGAGACTATTTATATTCTGATTGCTTGTATTTAATAAAACAATTAACTACAAAAATCCTGATTCTCCTGGTGGAAACACTATAAAACATTCAGTTTTATAGTGTTTTTTGGAGATGTATCTCTTCAGAACCTGTGGCCAAGTACTGCCTTGTAGAACATCTGCAAAACCTTGAATGTAATGGGAAAGACAGATGTGTCCGTTGTTGTGGTGAATCCAGTCATGAATTGGCAATCGACGAAAGTGTACGCCTTGTTCCTCATTATCAATTTTCAAGCGGTACAACTCGTTTAAATCTCTGCGATTTAGCCCCATTAACTCTTGATAAGGATTAAAGACAAAAACCGTTTCTTCTTGATTGTTTATGTCTTCGTCACGTAGCACTTCCTTTGCTAGTGGGTTTATGTAGATTATCCGCTTACCGGGAAAAGCATTCAGGTACGAGTTTGCTGAACATTCTAAAAACTGACTGTCTAAAAGAGATCCATCAAATGTCTCTTGTAGATGTTTTCTCATCGGGCTGTCCGGGCCCATACTACAGTGAACAAAACTCAACGGTGAATGGCAATGATGGTTTTTCTTGTAGATCTGATTGCAAATTTTGAATATTTTATAGCACAGTAGCTGGTGGTAACGTTCACGATTGGCTGCAGCGGCGGGAGAATATGGTCTACCCTTTTCCGAAAAGGCTTGTTCAGGAAATTCCCAATCAAAAGCGATAAATTGTCCCCACAAAATAGAATTGATGGCATTTTGTGTCCTTTGTCGATACTGCCGGCTCATGTTAACTCGAGTAAATAAACAGTTTTTCCACAAACCATAATGAAGATCACCTGATAAAAAAAATAGTTACTACTTGAATAACAAAGTAAAAAATTACCATTTGCATCAAAACAGCCTGGCATGAATTCTTTATTCACTTCAATCTTTTTACTTTTTTTTACTATTTTCTTCACCTTTACTCTAATTCTCACCGTATCTCTAAAGTATGATTTAATAAAAAACATTTGTCGGGCTTCATTGCTGTTCATGTTGAGCATTATTCGCACATCTTCACAAGTCAAAGCCGATGGAACTCGCATGTTGGTAAAGGAGAAGTACTCGTATTCAGCGCATATCAGCCCTATTTTCAGTCGAATCTCCTCAAGTTCATGTTCGGTTTTGTCTGAATTGGCAGACTTGGAAAACAACTCTTGAAAATCATCAGTGGAAGGCACTCTAAAGTCTCGGTTAAAGCGAACATAGGAAGCGATGTCTTCTCTTGATTTGTGTAACGTAGAAATCTGATCAATATTTTTCAGTTTGGTGTCAAGTTTTGAAAAGCACCGTTTTGTCAACAGGGGTGAAGTCCAGTGAGTTCGGGTGCACTTTAATAAAGTTGCCATAAACCCATTCATTTTGCTTGCATGAAAGAAAAAGCAGTTACAGATCGGCATGTTGTTGGTCCAAAAGTTTGCAGCGCTCGCTGCGCATTCATTGATTGCGTAACGAGTAAATAAAAACTTGAGTCAGGTTACCTGTCAGTTGTTGATGTGCGTTTTTTTGGGAGTTTGTAACGATTTACTACGACTTGATCTTACAAGAAAATACTAAAATGGATCCCAAAAAGGCAAATATTCTGACAAAGAACATCAACAAAATTGTGCAACAGTTTGAGCTAACCCCTCAGTTTTGGAGTGAGCTTGAAAAATCTGAAATTTTCCCCTCAGAATACACTGACTTCATGAAGGTATTTTAAAGCATTCATAATGATTTTTTCATCAAAGTTTAATTTAATACTATTTTTTATTAGAAAGAAGACACTGACGATGAAGAAAACAAAAAGAAGAATATAATCATTGATTTGAAGCGGCGAGATTCACTGTGTTACGAAAAGTTCTCTAACATTCTGCGAACTTTGTGCAAGTCGGACATTCTTTACCAGTATTTACAGTGCCACGAAAAAGATGCATATCCAATTGTATCAGAAGTACCGGGGACTTGTTTGATCATAAACAACAAAGAATTCGTGCGGTGCGAACTACGTGAGGGCTCAGAAAATGATGTGGAAATGTTTAAAACTTTATTCGAGCGCATGAACTACGATGTTATTTGCGAGAAGAACGTGACTCGAGATAGTCTGCTTAAACTGCTAAAGAACAAGTCAAAAGATAAAGCACTTGAAAAGCATGACATTTTTGTAGCAATTATAATGTCTCATGGAATATCCGATCATGTAATAACGTCAGACAACCAATATGTCTCCTACGACGAGATTCTAAAGATCTTCAACAACAAAGATTGCTCTAACTTGAAGGATAAACCAAAGATTTTCATTTTTAATAGTTGTCGATCAAAGCTTCACCCTGGTAAGAGCACATTTAAACTTTTTCATACAGTTTGTAATTCTTTTATCTTATTTAGATGATTCAGATGATTTTAAGAGTCAATTCAAGTTTGTTGATGCCGAAGACTCAAGCACAAAAACTAACCATACTTTTAGCGACATTCTTATTGTATTTTCTACTTTAAATCGTGCGTTTTATTTTTTGCAAGAACATAATACTAATTGGTTTTATTTTTCAGATTATCTATCAGTCCGAGATGAAGAATCAGGAACACTGTTTGCTAAAGCATTCACCGAAGCGATGAAGGCCAATTGGAACGAAGATGTGTGCACGATTGTCACTAAAGCCAATAATATTCTGAATGGACTGGTGAAAAATAACCCAAAGAACAAAGTTGAGCAAGGCCAGACGATTGAACAGCGAAAGTTAGGTCATCAAAAAAATTTTTACTTTTCCAAACTGAATTGGCAACAGTAAAAAATGAAATGTCAAAAAATTAAAGAAACGTTGTATGTGAATCGCTGCATCCTAACGAGCAAAATAAAATAGATTTGTTTTGCAATTTCTCAAAATTCACGTTGAGATAATCTCAAAGAGATTTGCTTTCACGTCACTTCTTTTACCAGTTCTTATCGTCATTTAGTCAAAAGCTAACCAAAGTAATCTTTCTTCACCTTAGTCGCACTATATTTTTCACCTTTTTCTTTTGCATAACGCAACGGCAGTGCATTCAACGGAGCCATGTCTTATATGCTGCAACACCTGCACAATGGCTGGCAAGTGGACCAGGCGATTCTTTCGGAAGAAGACCGGGTAGTGGTGATCAGGTTTGGCCATGATTGGGATCCAACGTGCATGAAGATGGACGAAGTACTGTACGGAATTGCCGAGAAGGTAAAGAACTTTGCCATCATCTACCTGGTTGACATAACTGAGGTGCCTGACTTTAACAAGATGTACGAACTGTACGATCCCTGTACGGTAATGTTCTTCTTTCGCAACAAGCACATCATGATCGATTTGGGTACGGGCAACAACAACAAGATCAACTGGGCTCTCGAAGACAAGCAGGAAATGATTGACATCCTGGAGACGGTCTACCGAGGCGCCCGCAAAGGCCGCGGTTTGGTCATTTCACCGAAAGATTACTCTACCAAGTACCGCTATTAACAATCTTTAATCAATCAACTCATCTGTGTAGTAAATATTCATTGCACCATTTTATACTGTCAAAATAAAAGTGATACAGTTTATTCAATATTGGAGTGGAAATTAAATGTTGATGGGATATACAGTACGGTGATGGCAAAGAAAAGTTTAGATGAACTAACGCGCATCAAAGACAATCACTGTTGAGTAAAAAATTCAAATTAAGTCTTTTGTTGACAATTAAACAATTAAACGAGTCATTACTTACGTCGTTTGGTTCGCTTCTTGTACATGATTCGGTAACCGCATTCTCGACATCGAATCGGATCTTTCAATTTGATCTCATTATCTGCGTGGCATTCTGTTGGCAAAGAAAGAGGGAGAAATTAGTTGTCTTTTAGGAAGAATTTAGGAAGAATAAAACAAAACAAACCTGCACAGATGTACACCATGGGCTGCGGCTTGTACGGGTTTATGGGTTTATCCTTAGTGTCCATCTTTATCTCTTTTGTCGTCTTTTAAATCAATCAAAACTGAAGAGTACTTTTGGATTCAAAACACTTTAAAGTAAACACTCGCCCGCTTGGAAAAATGCAACAACACAAATGGCACTTTTTCGAGACTGTTTTTCGCGTTGAATTCCCGATCACAGAGTACGTATTTGTTGTACCAGCCAAGACAGAATTTTATAAAATTAAAAACAAACATTCATGCAACCTCCTTTTTTAACTAGATTGCGACTGAGCATAAATTTAAAAGTTTTATTCAAACATAAGCTTGAACTTGATGAAAAACCATTACAAGAAGTTATGATCTATTGAAGACATGTCTTTTGTGAATAAGAACACGTGGGGTTTTCTCAATGTTTTGATTGCGCAAACAAAACTTGGTGCAGCGCGAGTTTTCTTGAGTCCAGAATTGTAACGCAGTTAATCGATTTATAGGTTTCTTTTTCCCCGATTCCACAACGCGACTGCCGTCATGTACCACAGCCACTGGTCAGACAGACTCCCCCATTTGGTTCCAATTTGGCACTCACTGAGTAATCAAAATCTGCAAAACTTTTCAGAAAATTCAATTGATCTCAATCTGGCCCTTGATTTTGGAGGAACTGGATTTTACAACCAAACTGCCCTGCGACATTATCAACCGCTTCAATTTTCAACAAATCGACCCACATTACCCTTTTATATCAAACCACGATCGCAGGAGAATGTTTGCCAAGCCACTCGAAACTGCTTGACTTTTTCTAACAAACATAAAGTACTTTTTTCCGCAAACCAAGCAAAAATCAGCGGTATTTCTGTGTCTATTGACAGTAATCGTTTTCAGCACAACTCAAATGATGTGAACTACAACTTTGCGCATCAATTTAGTGACAAGAATACATCTAGGAAAAACCCATTTTGTTTTCACGCAGAAAATATTTGGGGTTTCACTGGTAAACATTGTTTTAAACTTTGATTATTTTATTAAACTACTTTTACTTTATTAGAGCCGCCAAAAAATAATACTTCAAGTGAGCATATTTTGGAGATTAGGCTTGAAGAACACGATAATCAGGAAATAAAATTGTGGTCTCAAACTCGAACATCTTTAAAAGAATACAAGTGTCACCCTCAAAATGACGAAGATAATGACTTGAAATCTTTTAACTTTGAGTTAGTAAATGACATAAGTGCAGTTTCGAAAGCGCTCTTTCCAACAGAAAATTCGTTTCTCAACTTTTGGGATCGTAACGACTTTGTTACTGAAGATTTTTTGGCAACATTTGTTGAAAGCAATATTATTTACAGGTGGAATGTTGAAGCAAACAAATATATGGTTGCGAACACGGTTGATCCTTCTAGTCATTTGGCCAACACTAATAATTTCATTGGCTTACAATGGGCCAAAGAACTCAATCCATTTCTTTACTTCTACGGCACCCACAACGATATTTTTCTTGGTGATACACGGACAAACCTCGATGGCTCTCAGAGAATGTCTCAAACAATTATGAACGCGCAAAAGTTTCCTCATTTTAAAGATCCTATTGAACTGTTTCAAACATTTACTGATAATCCAGCAAATAATCATCAAATCATCACATCTTCAGACTTTAGCATTAACTTTTTCGATATTCGCTACTCTGGCAAAAACGTTAGTATCCTCACTATTTTATTTAATTTGACTAATTACTTTTTGTGTTTTCAGATATTCCAGTGCAAGCACATGATGACTTCTCGTTTAGTCAATAAGCTCTACTCAAAACCATTAACTGGATGTAACGGTTGTGAAATGATACTGTTGGCTTCCAATTCCGAGCGTTGCTGTTTGTTTCCATTCAATGCTCAAACCAGCATTCAACCAATCATGCAAAGCTATCCTTACTACATTGGAATGCCAAAGGAAACTGGTAGTCTCTTTCCAGCACTTAAATCCGACAAAAGTTTCATTACTGGAACGCAAATTCTTCTGGGAAAGCATTCAGCTGAAGGTGATGCCGAAGACTTTATTTCAATTGCCCAACTGACAAATAATGGCGACATATACATGCAAGACTTTTGGCCTTTAGGCCAAGAGCCCTCGAGACTGCTTCGCATAACTTCAAGTGACGAAAATCAAAATGCTAATGTACAAAAAGACCTTCATGAGGATTTAGATACAGCATCGACCGTAAGTTTTGTTTTATTTTTTAATTTGATTTGACAAAATTACTTTTGACTTTAGTTTTACCTGAAATCTGTAATCAAGTTCTTGAAAAACAAACCAACTAACAATCACACACAAAAAAGCGTTACGAATTCAAACACTAAAGACGAGGAAGCTTTTCTGCACACTGATAGTTCATTGCAATCCCAAAGTGATCTGGAAAATGGGCAAGTTAACTCATCAGTTGATGGGATTTTGGATGAAAGTAGTGATGATGAGCAAATTTCCTTTGGAGAATGCAAATTTTCGAACGCAATCGCCAATCGAAGTGGCAAAAAACTTGTTGATTTAGATCTGTTTCAACGTAACTGGCACTCTTTTTCCTCACTTCCAAATTCTTCTGTTGGTCTTCGGGACATTTGTCACCCGCTAACAGTTACCCTCTGCGAAGAATGGTTTGCTAAATTGAACACCACAAGTTCTCCGGGCAAAAATGACGCTGACCCACTGCCAGATTGAACACCCACCTTAACAAAATATTTTTCTCTGTGATACTATAGGCTTTTCCCATTTATTGTGCAGCCAAATACTCAGGTATTTTGGATTTCATTGTGATATTTGTGATATATGGTGCGCACGTCCTTTTATTCTCATTGTTTTAAATTGATTCAGATCGTATGTATCAATAAAAGTCCTGTTTTGAGCAAAGTTAAAACTCGTCTTGTGAAAGCTGTCAGCCATCAATCGAGTATTGATGGGCAGACTGCACAATAGAGAAGCTAAGGTCGAGGCATCTTCGAAGTGTTTGCAATAAGAAACGAGCTTGGCGAGGTGCAGTGACAGCCTCGAAAGTGGAAGCCTGTGTGGCGTCGTAGAAAGAGTGCCACTGCTGGACAGGATCACCACCATCACCAGCAGAAGTAGAAGCAGCGAGTCTGAATCAAGTTTGAGTGGCAGTGAGTTTGGAGGATGGCTGCCTTTGCCAGGTAGTGCAGTATTCAACATGCAGCACTTTCGCTCCTTTCGCCTTCTGCTGCAGTGCCCACTGGCCAGTAGTGCCCACTAGAAGATGCTCCTCACTCCTCGCTGCTCACTTTCACATCTCCTCAGACATTCCCTTTTAGCCTACAGTTATTGATCAGCTATAATTGCAGTGTGCCAATCCACAGTGTGAAATACCACATCCGGCAACTTTGCTGCGTCAGCACGTGAGCCGTGATTTTTGCTCATCTTTGTGGCCATTAATCACCCTACAGTATTCGAAGATAGCCGCTGAAACTTGACAAAATGAAGCTAGTAACACTGGTTTATCTGTTTACTGTTGCCACAAGTGTGCATTTGGTCAGTGCAGAAATATCAACTCACCAAGACCAGAATAAGCCTGAGTACCACACTGATAAGGACTTGAAGGATGCAAAGGAGAGGTGGATTGTCAATGAAGACGAAATGTGGGATGACGACATGATGCAGCATCCCATTGACGAAGGTCCAAGGAGGGTAAGTGAAGCATTTTCTACTTTTTACTAGATGAAAATATCTAATAAACACTCATTTGATGTTTTTAGGTCCACCGTGATAACGGAGAAGTAAGTCTAATTGAGAAATTAGCTGTATTAGGCTACAATCATTAAATTTTAGGT